TCACATCCACCCACACTCAATCACCTACTCACCTATCCACAGTCATTCATCCATCCGCACTCAATCATCCATCTACATACGTCCACCCATCCACTGACATACGCACACGCACGCACGTACACACACACGCACACATACACACACACACATGCACGCACACACGCACGCACACTTACCCACTCACCATTTCAGCATATATATATATATATTCTTTTATTTAAAATATTTGTAAATTTTACTTGTAAATTTACCATTTGCACGAACGTATTTTTTGAAACTTCGAAACTTCGAAACTTCGAAGCTTCGAAGGTATCTTAAACTTCGAAAGGTCGAAGTTCGAAGCTTCGAAGATATCTTAAACTTCGAAAGGTCGAAGTTCGAAGGTATCTTAAACTTCGAAAGGTCGAAGTTCGAAGCTTCGAATATTTGAAGTAGGTGAAAAGTAACAGCTCTAATATAAGTGCGTTAAATAGTATAGTTATAAAAATACTTTGATTAAATTTAGAAATTATAATAAGTAACGAAAGTAACAACACTTCTAATCTTTGATTGCTATATCTATCTTCTTAAAATTCTTATTGTGAACCGACACTTATTTAGCAAGATGTAAAAAAAAAAAAAAAAAAAAATTAAAAATGGGATTGATTTCAATTTACCGTAGGTATACGCCCAAGTATATGTACTCGGAGAAAACATATCCAAATTATTTATCAGGCACAGGGTATGTTATGAGTGTGGGTGTGGCAGCTAAATTATATCAAGCAGCGTTGATAACGCCGTTGCTACACTTGGAGGACGTTTACGTAACGGGTTTATGCGCGAAGCGCGCGAAAGTCCGGCCCCTCAACCATCTTGGATTCAGTTATATACCTCGCAAAATAGATCCCTGCGTGCTCAGGAACGCTATTACCACGCACAAGGTCAATGCGTCCAATATGTATGTGATTTGGACAAAAGTGAACGATACGAGCGTTTTGTGCAGCAATCGTACTCGCGATTACAGAAGACCGATCTCTTTGAGCAGAAGCGGCCGAAACGCCGGCTACTATGTCTTCAAGAGAAAAACTATAAACAAGTGCGTTTAAGTACACTTCTGATAACATTGATTCCATACGTTGTTACAAGACTTAATTTTTTTTTTATCGAGCTTCCTGCTAAATCGCGAGTGGAATTAAATAGGTGAGAGAAATGATACAGAAGCTGTGAATTTCCCCATTTATAAAAAGCTTCGAGGAAATTCTCACTTCGATTTCTTATGAAATTATTTATTTATAAATCTATTTGCGCAGACATCGAAATATTGCTTGTTATTACTTTCTATCATTACGCTATTTGCTATGCAACTCATGGTTCATTGTAAAAAATGTAATTCGAGTTTTGAGGCGATAGAATCTTCAATGAATTTTCGCAAATCTTCGATTCTGTCAGGCTGTGTCCAATTTCCATTGTTAGTTTACGATTAATAGATTAAGCCTTTAAGTTTTACAAGACTACGGCCAATTTGCACCGATATATAGAATCTAACCGAAAGTCCATCGATTAACGGTTCTCTGTCTTCTTACGAATTATTTATTTCGCGTATAGTAAACGCGAAGTTTTAATTGATTAATATATATAAATATTAACGTTAACTGATATCGGTGCAATTGGTACAATACGTGTAACAATCGTGACAGACGACACACCGAAGGTTTTGTATATTTTTCTATTTAAACCAAAGTAGTATTTAAGGATATACGCTGTCAATTAGATCTTTTATATAATTTACATTATTTTTTCCGCCTGTTTATGTAAGACATGATTAAAAAAAAAACGACAAGATGTAATCTATGAGAAAGAAGTGTGTTCATGGACAGTTTTTTCGAATGTGTTGAACTTCTCGATTGTCACTTCCTAATGACAATTAAATCATATAATTATCTATGAAACATAGAAAATTTTCCGCGCGATATGAATTTTGTTACGATTCTTCACAAGAATTGACAATTGAATATCTTGTGGCTGGAAAGTCACAGGGAAGCGAAGCTTCCCTTTATTTTAATAATACAAATAATGCTGTTGCTTCCACGTACTTATGCGAAATTATTTAGGAACGTAATAGCATTATAATATTATTAATCTACATGTTTCCGAATCTCCTAAATAGCCTTATGTTTCCTAAGCATAGTATAATATTATAAATTAAATATGTGAAAATTGCTTCCTGTTTAGTAACATAGGATATAAATATATTTTAATTTAATTTCTATTTAAACAACAAAATAATGACTTGTTCTAATAACGTTATCTGAATTTCGTCTTTTATTCGTAAATAAAATTGACTTTTTAAAATTTACTGGTATTTCGATTAATATTACTAAAAAATTGTTTTATATTGTATAAAAATGTTATCTTGTTATTATATTTTAGTTCGATTTATATTATTACTTCAGACAGTTAAAAGAATAAGTTTTCAATTTTTAATTTCGCGAAAACCTAGCATATTTATTGCGTTATGTTTTCGACATACTAAGGCTTTGTTGAAACTAACGCTTATTGAAGACAAATTTTATAATCAAATATTTCCTTCATGTATCCTTGAAAGGTAATGTCCAAAAGAGTCCGTGCACAATTTTAGTCCATACATTTTTATATCGATAAAACCATGTAAATATAAATATGCATTTTGTAGATACATTTTGAATAGACAAAAATAAAAACAAAACTTTTCTCTAAAACATATCTACTCAACTTCGGTACATTCGAATTGAATTATTTTGTATGCGTGTGCTTTTTAGTATTATTTCCTTAGGAATTGCGTATGAATTTTATATATTTATATGTAATATAATTATATATACTTAGTTTTCGCAGCTTGTGAATCAGACTTTCAGAAGTAGATTCTAGATATAAATCACACTGTCTTCAATAAATTCCAACAAATACATATAAAGCGCAAATTAAGTGAACAAACATCAAATGATATTGTAGTGCGGCAGTTTTGTTTATCGTCTTTAAAATAAATATCCATAAATGCTAGATAATATTACAGTTTGCATTATTGTTTGACAGCAGTACAGTTTGCGATCTACATAATATTATTGATAATATTACATATTTATTGATTGAAAATTCATTTATCGAAGCCGCACTGCAATATTAGAAAAAAATATACCTATATATAACAAATGATAGATAGACCATTAAGATAGCTGTTAAGAGCTTGACGATATAGCCTAACATTTGCTAGAATCTTCGATTTGAACTCTAGTAGAGACTTGTTATAATTTAGCGTTTAAGTATAATCTTTCCGAAATTTGTAATACACCGCGTATATCATTTTATGTCATATCAGGACGATTAAAAAAACCGGGACAGCCGGGAAGGGGAGTTTGCGAATAGTAAAATCGTATGCTTCAAAAATTGATGCATTCGCATGGTCCATGACGACGAGACATTTGTAACTTAAGGTGGAGGATGCGATTGAAATGATTCTATGGAATACCCTAGTGGCCTTAGAAAATTGACATTTTATTTTATAAGAATAGATTTGACGCTGAATTTTTTACCGTTAGTCTCTGCTAAGCCATCATAATACTCCGTGCTATCTAAATACGAGTGTTGGCAAGCTGTAGTATAATTATAATTATTGATATACATTTGCAAAAAAATACATTAATACGAAATGTATCATCGTTTTGCAACTTTCGTCATTCTTCATATGATGTGAACAAAAAAAAAGGTCAACCGAAAGATACACCTCATCCCTTTCGAGATACATAAATTTTGACGATGGTATATGAAACATAAGTTAGATACATCATTTTATATCGTGCTGTAGTATCAATAAATTATTTACATCTCTGCGAAAGCGTTTCTAACGCCTTTAGAAAAGGACATCGATTCATACGTACGTTTAAACGTTGACAACAGGAATTGCGCATAAGACAAATATAAATATTGTTATGTTGCATTTCGAATAAAAAATAAAAGAACTTGATGCAAGTTTTATTTATTAAAAATACATACAACGAAGAAGTTTTATATAAAAACAATTACAATACGCACATTTTATATTCGTTTACTTACATAGGAACTTTGCTTACAGACGCTGATCTTAACAATTACCAAATTTTACTAATTAGCACTAATTATTAATTAGCACTTACAACTAATTGTCGTATCTAAATTTTGAAACAAATTACTTCGATGGAATTTTTATCTCAGCTTACAACGATTACTACTGATTTTGTTTCAAAACATTGATTCCGAATTTTAATTTTCTTGAGATTAAAATGAAATACATAAATTAGCAGAATATAATCATGATGGTTATAATGAAAATGATAAAAAATAGTTACATTGAAACTATCATTGAAATACATCATGATATCTATGAAATAGAAGTAATCATAATTAATCATCGTAGTCGTTAATATTTATTTTCAATTGTATAATGGAATTGTCATAGACAAGCAATGTTTATAAATTAAATTTATGTAACTAAATACACAACTAAAAACTTGTAAGTTGAAATAAAAATTAATTGTCAAAGTAATTCGTTTCATAATATTCGGAATCAAAGAAAATAATGCATTATACTAAATTCCTCTAGTAGAAAAATGATTCAGCATGATCATGTATAAAATAAGATTAAAAGTGCAGTACAGAATATATTATATATAAAATAAAAATCAAATGACTGATGAGCAAATAATTCAACGAATTTTACTGAATTCCTCTAATAGAAAAATGATACAGCATAATATGAAATAGAAGATTAAAAGTGCAGCACAAAATATACTATATATAAAAATAAAAATAAACGTATAATGAACAAATAATTCAGGCCCATTTTCACAATGTATGGTTACCTAAAGGTTAAAAATTACTAAAGAAGTTTAATGTTTAACCATGTTTGTTTACTTAACCATCAAGTTAACTTGATGCCAACTCAACTGATGTACACGTAATCTTTAGTTTATTTGATTATAAGCTTATTAAAATGTGTTTTAATTAACTTTCAAGTTTTAGTTAACCTAACTTTCTCATTAACCCATATATTATGAAAGTGGGCGTCAATGAGTATTAGATCGTTTTATATTCATGTTTTTTTTATCAGTTATACAATATAATTTACAATTAATTATTAGACTTGTTTAGAATGGTCAAGTTATAAACAATATCTAACAAGTTAGTTGTAAAGTGTAAGTAAAAACTTTGGTTTTCCTTTTTTTAATCATGCGTGAGATGAGTTTGAGTGGGTGTACTTTTAACGGTAATTACATTTACCTCTTCAGTAAGACTACATGCGTTTAAGTCTTTTATTACAGAATTCACTTGATCTGCGGAAATCTTTATCTTGAGTTTTTTACAATAATCGCGCCCATTTTTCTTCGTTTTATTTTTTAATATTTGATTTTTTATATGTCTTTTATGCAATTTTTGGTCTTCTATACATAAATTACTTCTATCTGTTTTACGAATAAAATCTGTAGGCTGAAAATCTTGCTGGAAACGTTTATTAAGTGCATCGTAGAGATAAAATCCTTTGTTCAATTTTTTCACAGTGGTCAGCTGTGAATCATCTGTCGAAAATAATCTCTCTATTTCTGTGATTTGTTTCGCCTTGTATCTTGCCTGTATTACTTTATTAGCCGTGTCCAAGGTGGGAAAGTGTATCTCTGAGCTATGATCAATCGCTTGGCAACTAAGCCTAGCCGCTTGAATATTTTGTTTATCTATCAATTCCTTTTCCAAAATTTCCTCTCTTTTAACACTTTTTTTGGCAATAAGGCTACGAAGCACTAACGTTCGCGGTACTACAGGAGAAGAGACATGCTTTACATCTTCATTATTGGGTAGAGAATAAATTAATTGAGTATGTAATTGATTTTTGCTATCTTCATCAAATAAATAATTCACTTTGTTTCTCACAATGCCGTTACTCAATGCTGAATATGATTTTCTTGCAGGCTGTAAAGTTGCTCCGTTACTCGATACTGCTGAATGTAATTTTCTTGCAGACCATGCAGTCGACATTATGCTTGACTCTATTGTATGTACTGTACACTTTATATTTGTCTTGTGCTTCAGCTTTATGGTATGTCTAAGACGATATTCCTTCTTTTTCTTCTCTTCCTCCCATTTTCTATTCTCTTCCTCCTTTTTTCTATTCTCTTCTAAATTACAAGTGCTCAGTTGCTTCACTAGCTTACTTATAGACCTGCGGTTTCTCTTCTTCACAGATTTAGACTTGATAAATGGAGAATTCGTGTTGCATGTTGCTTTTTGCAATACGCTTGAATTATTATCCAATTCAGTCTCGCTCTTCTCCACGTCTGAATCCGCATTCGTCTTCCTGTAAGTTGTGACTGACGACGATGATGAGACTTGCGCGGCTGGAAATACCGGAGCAGAAGTCATAGCGTTTGAAAATATTCTATCCTGCTCCGCAATCCTCTTCAATTTTCCACTCAATGCTGGAGTGCGTTCTTCTCTCGGCTTATGTACCCTATCTAACGTCTGATCGTGCGAAGTGTCATGCGCATTCATACTCTCTGCAGACACAAATTTTTGTTGAAAGTTGTGCCGACGCGTATTTTTCAAAGTGCTTTCGTCGACAACGGTCAAAGAAACTGTGTCACCGTGCGATTGCACCTTAACGTTTTTAGCAGCGTCGTTATACAATTTGTCGTACCAAGGCAGGGCGAGACTCTCGTCGAAACCTATACCCGCCTTATTCATGTTCACGTCGAGTCTCACGGGTTCCGTTATGCCGTTTTCATTTTTACCAAGTCCTTTACCTATATCACGAAAAACAAAAAAAAAGAGCCCTATTAGTATGATTTCGTTTTTTGCCTCTCGTTGCCTATCGCACGTGTCTCGTGAGCGGCTCCGTTGCACGATGCGTATAATGTATCAGTTTATCCTTGTTTAATATTGAACAAGAACAAAATGATACATCATGAAACGGAACGCAGCAATAGATATAAGGGGATACTACAAAAACAGAAGTGGACGAAATCGGGATGACGAAAGAGACAAATGTTTCGAAGTAACGTATCGTTCCACGTGACGGAGGACGAATGCGCCGCATCGTTTGGATTGAAAAAATGCATAAGATCATAACCATACTTACCTTCGGCCCAGCCGTATTTTGCCAGTAGATTTCTCGCGTCGAAACTTTCGAGACTTGCCATCGTACGTGAACAATAATCTTATGTAATTATTCGTTAAACTTTGGTCGCACAGTCGTAACCACGGTGCCTCGTACAGTACGTACTATGATCTCAGATCAGATCAGTCATCGGACCTGCTGTATATGACCAGCTGTGACCTGCTACGACCATGCTCGAACAAGATTATTCCAAATCCAAAGTTCAAAGTTGACAAATAGCAGTTAGCCTAACCACGATACACGTTGCATGAGAGAAACTTGAGAGTGGGGAAAAAGTCTTTAGTAAATCTAGTGATTACTAGAGAGAAGCGTGAGAGAGGGCACTAGCGCTCCACGTCTACATTTTCAAAAAAGGAACTACGTACCACGTCTATCTAACATTGTCGATCAAATCATAGGACGAGAACGTGGTTCGTGTCCGTGTAAATCGTGTATTATATATGCCACATTCTTCTTTCTTTTTCGTCTTTCTTTTTCTTTCTATATATTATATTCGTATATATATATATATATATA